CCTAGTTTTTTTTTAAAGTAATATGTTAGCCCAATCGAAAAATGTATCATTGCATACTAGAATACGCTGGTATCTAGGCATTTTTTATACATATATATTTATATATATATAGTAGAAATTGTAGCCGTATTAGTACAGTGATGCTGATAGAAAAGATTACATTAAATGAGTATCTTTTTAAGCTCTAGAAATGCTTTAGACTTGAGAAAGGGAGGATCAATCCAAAATTATACTTTTTTTATTTTCACACACTCACACACACTCTGTTTCATGATCTGGTGCACCGTGGATCAGCATCAACTTTTGGACTTTGTTGTCCAACTTGACATAGTCCAGAACAATGCAATTATGTCAGAAAACGAAATTTCCCAAATATGTGCGTCTGGATATACACGTGGATGGATTCATGAATATATAGGTCAGTCAGTGGGTTGTTTGGATAGATTATATATCCAGCATGCAGAGACTGTATACAACCCGGAAAAGAGGAGGTCGGGGCAGGATGTGCCAAGAGGCATCTGAGTCAATCCAGCACATAGTAGCTGGCTGCAAGATGTTAGCAGGAACAACAAACACTGAGAGGCACAGCCAAGTTGCTGAGATTGTGTACTGAAACATTTGCACAGAAAATGGGCTGGACCTTCTTAAGTCCAGATGGGAGATACCACAAAAGGTGGTTGAGATTGACAGGGCTAAGATCCTGTGGGACTTTTAGATCAAGACAGTAAAGCAAGTAGTGGCCAACCAATTTGACATCATGGTGGTAGACAAGGAACAGAAGACTGTGGTGTTGGTGGTGGATGTGGCAATACCCAGTGACCAAAACATCAGGAAGAATGAACATAAAATGGTTCACAAATTCAAAGGACTGAGAGAGGAGCTAGAAAGGATGTGGGAAGTGAAGGAAGTAGTAGTCCCAGTTGTGATACGAGTATTCGGGGCTGTGACCCCCAAGTTGGAGGAGTGGCTTCAGCAGATTCCTGGGTCGCTTTCCAGAAGAGTGCAGCTCTAGGAACAGCTGAGACCCTGTGCAGAAACCTCAGACTCCAAGGCCTCTGGTAGAGGTGAGGAATACACCAAAAAAGTACCACACGGATGATGAGAACAAAAGTCAATTTAAAAAAAAAAAAATTATAATTCAATATATATATATATATATATATATATATATATATATATATATATTAGAAGATAAAGGCAATATTACAACAATGTCATCAAAAAGATTTTTACAGATTTCAAAGTCTGGCTAGATAAGTATCATTGAAAGACATCCCTCCATCAAAAACATGAAATATAGTAGGCTCAGGCACCATAAAGATAAAAATCTATTAACTTGCTGCTGACCTCAATGACACTAGAATCTATGGAGACATCAGAGAAGCCATATCTCTTCTGACTTTTACATCCAGAAACCCGTGCTTGGAATCCCCAACCAAATGTAAAAGCTTTGTGGTGATTGGAACACTGACAACGATTCAGATTGTAGTCTCTCTGGCTGGCAGTGGACAGACGTCCCAAGGGCTTTAAACTGGCCTTTACATTCAGTTTGATCAGAGAGACATTTTTTACCATATGCTTTTGGCGGTTCAGGCTCAGCAGTGATACAGAAAGGCATATGCTACAGGGAACATATGCTTTAGGCTACAAGATATAAAACTCCACATATTATGGATTGATGTATTGCAACTCTAATTAAATCTGATCATTGTTTGAATTTATCCCTATTAACCAAGACCAAAAAACACCAACATGTTACTAAAAAAAATAAAAAATGTTCTCTATATTTAACCATGTGTTCTTTTAAATTGGGAAGGAAGCTGAGATTGCTGCCACTCAGACTGGAACTCCCACTAGTCTTGGGCAGCTCTCTGACAAGTGTGTCCCAGTGCTCACCTTAACCCCTACACTACACTTTATCCCCTCCCCCTCATATTACCCAAACAGATTACACTAACACTGTGAATAAAATAAGTGTGAATGATGTTTCAAATTAAGTTAAAAAAAACACGTTATAAAAATTGCTTCCCCAACACTCAAACCTTAATAAGTATATGTATTACACTAGCACTGTTAATTAACCCCTGCACTAGCCCTAACTCCCTAAACTGACACTAACTCTATTCATGACCTATAAACCTATATCGTGTAGTGTAAAATATATATCACACCTCCCAAGTGTCCCTATTTTTGATAATGCCCATTCTTCCAGGAGCTCCATGTGGTAAGTGTGTCTGTGTGCAACACAGAGCTCCACATAAATAATACTCCCAGTGATGTGTCTTAAACCTAAAAAAAAATGTATAGAAATCTTTCTGTGTAAATAAGATACATTGTTCTTGTTCTAAATTACATAAATTTATATTGGTATTGGTATTGGTAAACAGCCCCGTCTGACATCCCCAACTCAAACTCCTAAAATTAATGTGTCCATCTTAGTCCATTTCAATTGCTGAAATAGTTCTTAAATGGCTCTGTGTTTCTGTTGAGTCTGTATCTTTATGTATGTCAGTGTTTGCATTTGTGTGTCTGTATCTGTATGTGTGTCAGTACCAGTATCCGTATGTGTGTCAGTGTTTGTATCTGTATGTTTGTATCTGTATGTGTGTCACTGTGTGTATGAATATATATTTAAAAAAACTAAAAAGAAAAAACCTCAGTGTTTAGGTGATGTGTCTAGGTGTTTAGGTGATATGCAGAGGATAAACAGGGAGGGCCTGAGACAGAGGAGAAGCAGGGAGAGCCTAGAGCAGAGGAAGAACAGTAGAGCCTGGGGCAGAGAAAAATGTATACATTTGAAATAACAGCAGCTATATTAAAGGACCACTATAGTGCCAGGAAAACAAACTTGTTTTCCTGGCACTATAGTGTTAATAGGTCCCACCCTCATGGCCCCCCTCCCAACGGGCTGTAGGGGGAGGAAGGGGTTAAAGGCTGGGGACTCTCCTCCCTCTTCTGCCGAATGCACATGTTTGGCAAGATCCACGCGCGCATTCAGTCAGTCCATGGGAAAGCATTCTCAATTCTTTCCTATGGACGTTGGCGTCTTCTCACTGTGAAAATCACAGTGAGAAGCGCCTCTAGCGGCTGTCAATGAGACAACCACTAGAGGCTGGATTAACCCTAATGTAAACATAGCAGTTTCTCTAAAACTGCTATGTTTACAGCTGCAGGGTTAAAACTAGGGGGATCTGGCACCCAGACCACTTCATTGAGCTGAAGTGGTCTGGGTACCTATAGTGGTCCTTTAATTACAAACGTTTCTCTAATATGGAGGGTACAATTTATGGAAATGGGCTGCCAAGGGAAACAAAAGTAAACAGTGGTCTATTGGAAATGTTGGGCGCTATGGACATATTATGGTGATTAGAAGAGTATAATCCCATTATATGGTTTCTAGGGACATTTATATACCCCTACTCGCTAGACAGACAGACAGATAAAAAAAATCTGTTCATAATATTAGAATAATAAAGAATATATCAGCACTCAAAAATAAATCTTTCTAATAAATACATATTTCAAAGGATTACTCCAAACAACATGACCACTTCACAGATTTGAAGTGGTCATGGTCCCTGGAATTAGTATGTGCAGTGTTTCACTATAAAATGCTGCATATACAGAATTTTACCCCTCTGCCGCCAGAGATCTAATTCTAACTCTCTTCACATCATTGGTGTGTCATTAGCTAGCACAGAACATTAGTTGGAGGTGGCTAATATGAATCCTGTGCAAATTTAGTGTCTGACACCAGCACACACGGCATGCTGGCACCATAACCCCTCAATCTCATTGTATTGAATATGGGGCAATGAGCCTTGGGGCACCACGTCCCATTTTCAGACAGTATAACAGAGAAAATTAGTTTGGCGCATTTTTCTGTCACAGATCAGAGAAGAGAAGCAACCAACAGACCAAAAAAAAGGAAAAGCAACAAAAAATATATACATATATATTTAAACACCATATATTTATTAATATAGAACATATGTAAATATAGATTGATTTCTTACAGCTCCTCCTTTTTTTCCTCTCTATTGGTAACTTATCACTTCAAAGTGAATTGCAAATGTAAGTCCAATACAGCAGAACTGGAAAAAAAATCTCTTCAGTTCAATTTGAAATTTAAACTCTCCCTTTAGTGAATATCCCTGATAGTTCCTGTCCCCTAAACCGTCAATCATTTCTTTCCCCATCAATCATTGCTTTTTTTGGTGCAGTGGATGAAAATCTGAAATACAAAATAAACAAAACTGTTCGTCCATTTTCGGTTTCATTTGGTTCATGATTTGGACATATAATGATTCGGAGTTAGGGAATTCAGTTGACCCACCAATTGCCCAAAATTAGGAGGAATCACAATTTGTTTCAAAATTAATAAACAAGTCTAGTTTATACCAGGGATACTCTTCCTTGGTATCTCAATTGTTCTTGGGCTATATATTTTATACTTCTATTTGTGACAGATATAGTCCAGGTTGACTACAAAATTGAACATCTTTGGTTTATTCAATAAATCACAATGTACAATGGCCCCACTGGCTGAACATGCTAGGCCAGGAGTAGACAAACTTCTGCGCTAAAGATGTTGTGAACTACATCTCCCATAAAGTTCTTGCAATCATAATGCTAGCAAAGCATCAAGGGAGGTATAGTCCACAACATATGGAGTGCCGAAGGTTGCCTAACTCTATGCTATAGGTAATGGGATTCAACAGCACTTAGATGGGCTTAGTTTAGTTAGGTAGGGTTTGTGTTTCAACCACTATTAATTCAACAATTATCAAGAATACGGTGTCAGAAAACTTTAAGAGTTAATTAGTTATTTGCAACATGTTATACTTATTTCAAAAACTCTAGTGGACTCCACAATATGATTACAAAACATGGTGTGGCTCAAATGTTTCTCTTTCCACAGAGTGTTTATAATGATTCTGTGTTCTATGGTCATGTGTCTGGGTTGGATGAGGATTGTTTAAATTTCAGTTAACCAAGCTCTTTGATCTAGGACACATCTCGGAATTCACTCCAAGTAATATTGTATCTCATGCTTTAAGGTATCGCTATTTTGCTTGTTGTGGTCCGGGATCGGAGATGTCATGCTCATTTCTGGGATGTGTTGGCTCTTCACACTGATTGCAGGAATCCCTGGACACTTTGTGAAATGACCAAGGCTCATAAACAGTAGCACACCGATAATTACACCGCAGTTATTTTTGTTTTGATATTAAATTCTCTGCTCTCGCTACTTCTTCCTTTGCAATTTCCATGTTATAATAATAATATTATTTTAAAGGCATGGTTTGAGAACCTTATTCAAAACAGGATCCATTCCACATCCTGAGATGGAGGCATCTCTGCAGATACTGCACTAATTGATCTGGAATGCATGCTGATTTTTATTTTCACTGTTTGTCAGGAGGTTCACAATATCAGGAAGCAGGAGATGGCTCATCAAAGACTCTTTCTCGGTCCCACTACTCATCAACTGGACAGTGCCTTGTTTCATGAACCTTGAGGAAATACATCTCCCTGACCCTATTGTTGAGAACTTCCTTTTGTCTTGAATTTTTTAGAAGGAGATATTTGTGTTCATAAGGAACATTTTTTTCCCATGGGTAATGTTCCTAAATCACTCTTCTAATAGTAATACAAAGAATGTCCTACCACTTAAAGCACCAGTCCCTTGTCACTTTTCAACGTGTGTCGCAGTAGGGGCACTCTTTATCGAGCAGCATAGTACAGATTCACTTTGTGGTAGATAGAGTTGATGGAATAGATACTTACTGTTAAAAAAAAAAAAAATAGCAACATACATACACACACACACACACACAAAAAAGAAACCTCTTGGCTTATGCTGTCTAATCTGCACACAATACAAATATGCCGCTGTTTGTATATTTGTTCACAATTGCATTACAGTTTAGTCAACGTACAATTTTAAAACAGTATAAGCAAATAAATGCTACTGCAAATATATTGTAGGCCATGTTGTTTTTGAGGTTTCTATTAAAGGTGGACTGTTCTTATCTGGAATTTACATACACATATTATTAAAAATGCTGGTGGGTGACAGTTCTCTTTTATAAGCTCTAATTGACATTGGTTTTACCCATGTCTATTAATTTCAGAGTTTGTTGTTATATGTCCATAGTAGAACATTTCCCCTACAATAACAATGTTTATAACCTACAGCTAATAACATAATACCTGCCTTCTGTATCTCTGATATTCCCTTTGTTTGTTTTTTACTTGAATCGATCTCCTCTTATTGAGGTAGATTGTAGTGTACAAAGCCAGTAAATCTGTTTGATTTTCACAGATAAACATAAAAAGTAAAAAAATGCTGCCTGTTCAAATCCCAACATTAAAGTGATAGTGATTGCTAATGAGAGCACAGTGTTATTATAGTGTCAATCAAAATAGTTGAACTTGTCACAGTAGTAATTTTATTTATAATACAGGGAGTGCAGAATTATTAGGCAAATTAGTATTTTGACCACATCATCCTCTTTATGCATGTTGTCTTACTGCAAGCTGTATAGGCTCGAAAGCCTACTACCAATTAAGCATATTAGGTGATGTGCATCTCTGTAATGAGAAGGGGTGTGGTCTAATGACATCAACACCCTATATCAGGTGTACATAATTATTAGGCAACTTCCTTTCCTTTGGCAAAATGGGTCAAAAGAAGGACTTGACAGGCTCAGAAAAGTCCAAAATAGTGAGATATCTTGCAGAGGGATGCAGCACTCTTAAAATTGCAAAGCTTCTGAAGCGTGATCATCGAACAATCAAGCGTTTCATTCAAAATAGTCAACAGGGTCGCAAGAAGTGTGTGGAAAAACCAAGGCGCAAAATAACTGCCCATGAACTGAAAAAAAGTCAAGCGTGCAGCTGCCACGATGCCACTTGCCACCAGTTTGGCCATATTTCAGAGCTGCAACATCACTGGAGTGCCCAAAAGCACAAGGTGTGCAATACTCAGAGACATGGCCAAGGTAAGAAGGGCTGAAAGACGACCACCACTGAACAAGACACACAAGCTGAAACGTCAAGACTGGGCCAAGAAATATCTCAAGACTGATTTTTCTAAGGTTTTATGGACTGATGAAATGAGTGAGTCTTGATGGGCCCGTGGCTGGATTGGTAAAGGGCAGAGAGCTCCAGTCCGACTCAGACGCCAGCAAGGTGGAGGTGGAGTACTGGTTTGGGCTGGTATCATCAAAGATGAGCTTGTGGGGCCTTTTCGGGTTGAGGATGGAGTCAAGCTCAGCTCCCAGTCCTACTGCCAGTTCCTGGAAGACACCTTCTTCAAGCAGTGGTACAGGAAGAAGTCTGCATCCTTCAAGAAAAACATGATTTTCATGCAGGACAATGCTCCATCACACGCGTCCAAGTACTCCACAGCGTGGCTGGCAAGAAAGGGTATAAAAGAAGAAAATCTAATGCCTCCTTGTTCACCTAATCTGAACCCCATTGAGAACCTGTGGTCCATCATCAAATGTGAGATTTACAAGGAGGGAAAACAGTACACCTCTCTGAACAGTGTCTGGGAGGCTGTGGTTGCTGCTGCACGCAATGTTGATGGTGAAGAGATCAAAACACTGACAGAATCCATGGATAGCAGGCTTTTGAGTGTCCTTGCAAAGAAAGGTGGCTATATTGGTCACTGATTTGTTTTTGTTTTGTTTTTGAATGTCAGAAATGTATATTTGTGAATGTTGAGATGTTATATTGGTTTCACTGGTAGTAATAAATAATTGAAATGGGTATATATTTGTTTTTTGTTAAGTTGCCTAATAATTATGCACAGTAATAGTCACCTGCACACACAGATATCCCCTAACATAGCTAAAACTAAAAACAAACTAAAAACTACTTCCAAAAATATTCAGCTTTGATATTAATGAGTTTTTTGGGTTCATTGAGAACATGGTTGTTGTTCAATAATAAAATTAATCCTCAAAAATACAACTTGCCTAATAATTCTGCACTCCCTGTATGTTATAATTGGGTAGTGTTGGTTTAAAGGCGTTTGGATATTATACGGTTTTTAAAACATTATAAAAACAGTATAATATCCAAACGCGTTTCACCAATATAAGGCTTTATCAATTGATAAAGCCTTATATTGGTGAAACGCGTTTGGATATTAAACTGTTTTTATATACTGTTAATAAATAGATTTTGGTCACTGTTTACGTTTATACCATTATCTTTTGACTATTACCTGGCCTTTTATATATATTTTATTCTATATACATTTTTATATACTTTTTCCTTTTATTTATTTTACTTCCTGGTATTATACTCCAAAGAATCCCAGGTGGGGATTATACCACCTACGCTTTTATCATAGGGTAGTTAGCCTGCCCTATACACTGTGAGTATATTTTATTATTTTATACACCAACAATATTTTATTGCGAGCACTATCGCTGTTTTATCTTCTCTCCGAGCTCCTGATACTACCATCAAGAACACTCATCTTATATCCTACAAGCGGGGATTATACCACTGTACGCCTACAAAACTAGAGCTAGCAGAAGCTCTACCGAATGTGAGTGTATCTATTATATTTTACATCTTTTATTTCACGTGTGGAACATACTGCACCATTATTGTTTCCATTTTTATCTCCCACTTGGCCGTCTGTCACCACATAGAAGAGGATACTCGTCGTATATCCTGTAAGCGGGGATAATACCGCTGCAAGCCATTCACACCAGAGCTGGATTAAGCTCTGTCAACTGTAAGTAAGACCTCTCCTATTTTTACTATTTTGGATCATCTTTCTCATCACTTACCACCTTCCTCCACATCTTTTGGATATCGTAACAAGTAGAACCCTACAACTTCGGAGACCACATAATAGATTCAATTGGACTTGTTATTGTTATTTATTTTGTTCATTGGCGCAGACCCATCCCCTATTTATTTGTTTTTGTTTACAGCAAAAAGCCTGAAGGTAATGATTCTACTCACCAGAACAAATTCAATAAGCTGTAGTTGTTCTAGTGACTATAGTGTCCCTTTAAGGGATGTATTATTACACATCTTAAAGTTAGGGTTAGAGGATTTTTATATTTAGAGAAGGCTTGGGATTAATTGGGACTGTACATCCTTGAACTACTCATTTTGCACTCTAGATGGTGTGGACTGCATCTCCCCTGATGCTTTGTCAGGCTGTAAAACAATTATGGGAGATGTAGACCACAACATCTGGAGTACCGAACGCAGCCTACCCCTGTGCTTAATTCGTCTAGAAGTACAGTTTGGAACAAATTGTCTTTATGAAATTTTTGGCCCAGGTGTACCAAAATACTTTATGATTATGTGGCAAAAAAAACCAAAATGCTGCTAACTCCACAGGTTTTTCTATAATTACTTCTATATTTACTATAATTACAATACAACCCAGTCATATATTCTCAATCACATATTGTGGTATGGGAGAAGGGTTAGCTTGGGTTGTCCGCAAATGAACAAGGAAGGACCTGGAATGCCAATTCCAATGTCAACTGTGCGCCATGTTTGAATGCTTCAAACAATCACAATGTTCCACTCAATTTAACGGTTCAAAATAACGGTTTAAACATTCCTCTTGATATGTGTGAGGTGAAAGAATGGGGTAAATAATTAACATTTACTTATTCATGTCCAGGGATAATTTCTTAATAGCTTGGGAAATAAACCCTGAGCAATTGTGTCTCAGTTTGGGATAATTTGGAATAATTAGGTTTTGGACAAATTTGAAATTTGGTTTTTAGATTTGAGCAATGGTAAATAGAGTAAATTTCAACTAAATTGAGGACTCTAGTTTGCATCATATGACTCTGGAAAATTTTCAGCACTTACTTGTTAAACATTAATGTGAAACGGTATGTTTACAAATGTATATATTTATTTATACATATCATATATATTCTATGCAGAGCGTGGAGACGTTGAACATAGGTGCTGCTCACTGTTCACACTGAGATAGTCTGAGTCACTGCACTAGAGGTGTTATTAGGCACTCATGTAAGCACTGCCCTTTCTCTGAAAAGGCAGTGTTTGCATTGAATAGCCTAAAGGGACATGCTTTGGTACCTGAACCACTACATTAAGCTGTAGTGGTTCTATTAAATATAGTGTGCCTAAGCTCATTAAGCTCATTAAAGGGACACTCCAGACCCCTAAAACATTTTTAGCTTGCTGAAAA